TGTTTTTGTTTTTGTTTTTTCAAGATAGGGTTTCTCTGTGGCTTTGGAGGCTGTCCTGGAACTAGCTCTTGTAGACCAGACTGGTCTCGAACGCACAGAGATCCACCTGCCTCTGCCTCCCAAGTGCTAGGATTAAAGGTGTGTGCCAACACCCAGCCCCAACATTTTTTAGGAGTGCTGTGTTTCACCACCATAGGTATTGGAGAAGTCACCTTAATGAGAGACTGAGCTGTCATGGCACTTGTCCTGTTCATTTTTATGTCAACTTGACACAAGCTAGGGTCATCTGAGAAGAGGAAACCTCAGTTGAGAAAATGTCTTCATAAGACTGGGCTCTGAGGGCATTTTCTTGATTAATGATTGATGTGGAAGGGCCTAGCCCATTGTGGGTGTTACAACCCTTGCCTGGTGGTCCTAGGGTATACAAAAGCAGGCTGAGCAAGCCATTAAGTAGCACCCCATGGCCCCTGTTTCAGCTCCTGCCCTGACTTCCTTGGTGCTGGAGGACTCTTTCCTGGAAGTGTAAGGTGGAATAAATCCTTTCCTCCCCAGGTTGCTTTGGTCATGTTTTATCTCAGCAATAGAAACCCAAAAAAGTGTTTAAAGCCTACGCAGAAAGACAGAACCAAGACTCCACCAAAGAGTGTGTTTTCTGCTTGAACTCAGTGCACTTTCTAATTATTATTTTGTCACTTAAATGTTGGTAATAGTTTAGGAATGCAGCACACTATCAAGAATATTGAGACATGCTTTCTTATTTTTTTACTGTAGTTTAAGTCTCCGTTGTTTGATATATTCAGGGCCCTTTCATTTGCTTGGTTTTGTTGTTGTTTGAGACAGGGATTCTCTATGTCTGTCTTGAAATACATACCTACATACATATATATATATATATATATATATATATATATATATATATAGAGAGAGAGAGAGAGAGAGAGAGAGAGAGAGAGAGACCATGCTGACCTTGAACTTATAGAGATCTGCCTGCCTTTGCCTCCCAATGGGGGGACCCTTTTAACAAAAATGTATTGACAATTTCACACTCACGTGCATGAGCACTTACATACACACACATTTTTTTCCTCCAAACCTCTCTAAAGTGCTTCATACTCCTATTAACCCCCCTCCTTAAATTCCTTTCCACATTTCATTGTTTTTTGTTTTGGAAGAAGTTACATTTTCTGAGCTCCATTTAGTTTAATCAAGATCATCTGTGTGAATATGGGTTTAGAACTGTCCATTGGAGCCTGGTGGGCTCCTTAGTAGGTATAGGAAGAAAATAAGGCTTGCCTCTCCCTCGGAGTCCTCACAGTTCTGAAGCAAAGTTAGGGTTGACAGTCCTAAACAGGATATTGATACTACCACCCCTAAGACTCAGGTGCCATCATGGGGTAGGGAACCTTTAATTAAGAAAGGTGAGCCAGAGAGATCACTGTGACAAAGGTACCTGCTGCCAAGTCTGATGACCTGAGTTTCATCCCCAGAACCCACATGGTAGAGAGAGAGAACTGATTCCCATAAATTGTTCTCTGTCCTTTACACATGAGCCATGACACACACCATAAATAAATGAAAAATTTTGAAAAATGAGTAAATTTTCAGTGTAGGCTCTCATTGTTGGTCTATGTATCTAGAAGAATCCAGTTGCCAGTACTGTTACTTTGACCTGGATGTAGGAACGGGAGGATTGCCCCCCCCCCAGGAGAAAGAGACAGATTTGGGAAGTAATGGATGGATGACTGGTCTTTGCTGTGGCCAGTTAACTGTTGTCTACATTTGTCAGACATGGAGAACTCTGCTCCAGAAAGGTACATTTCAGCTGTCTACATTTGTCAGACATGGAGAACTCTGCTCCAGAAAGGTACATTTCAGCATATTTAAATTTTATCTCAATGGAATTAAGTTGAAAAGGAAAATAGATGGAGGGGTTACAATTTCCAAATACTTCTTAGTGTTTTTTGTTTGTTCATTTTGTTTTTTGAAGACAGGGTTTCTCTGTGTAGCTTTGGAACCTGTCCTGGAACTCACCCTGTAGATCAGGCTGGCCTGGAACTCACAGAGATCCACCTGCCTCTGCCTTCCAAGAGCTGGTATTAAAGGCATGTGCCCCCATCACCCAGCTACTTCTTAGTGTTTTAGCAGTGTCTCCCCTATGAATGTTCTTCACCAATGTCAAAAAGGTGTCAGGCCTGCCTTTGAATCCTCATTTCTTCCTTTGAGAAACTGGACTACATATGTCCATACCAAATAAAACCATCATTATGTATAAACCACATAGAATACTCAGAACACCAAGAGACAGAAGAGCCTTGTCTGCCCTACTTCTCTGTTATAAACCAGGATCGTTTTCATTGGCCAACCTGTTTATAATTTGCCCTGTCTTATATAACCTGTGAGTGAACAATGCTCTTCTATTCATTAGACATTACCATGAAATACATTTGTAGGAGAGCACATGAGTATGCAGGCACATGTGAACATGTGTGGGGAGAGGGGTGGAGACCAAAGATCAGCACAGGGTGTTCCTCTGGTATAATCCACTTGACACTGCCTCTCACTTGGTGTAGAATTCCTTGATTAGGTAAAGCTGGCTGGACCGAGAGCCCCAGGTTTCTACTATCTCTGCCTCCCCAACACTGGGATTACAAGTGGGCTACCAATCCCAGCTTCCTTTGTGTGTGGGTTCTGGGAATTGAACTCGGGTCCTCGTGCTTGTACTGCAAGCACTTTATTGAGTGAGCCATCTCCCCAGCCCCTTGACATATTCTTAGGTCAATTCCATCCCACTTACCCCAGACATCTTTTCTTAATTTTATTACTTATTTATTTCTTAATTTTATTACTTCCACCATCTTTAAATTTGGATGTTTTCCTGGATCCTTATCTTAAGAATTTAAGCCCAACTTTAAAGCCATAATTGACTTTTCAGCCTTGCACAGCCCGTCATTAGAACATAGCAAAGCATTCCACTTAAATTTTTCTTAAATAACCTCATTCCTTTTTTGAAATAATTTATATTATAATTTAATTACATCATTTACCCTTCCCTTTCCTCTTTCCAATCCCACCCACCCACATACCCCTCCTCCTTTCTCTTCTTCAAATTCAGAGCCTCTTTTTCTTTTAACTGTGCTGCATATATTTGTGTGTCTTTAAAGCAGTGGGGCTTTAGCCTCTGCCTCTGGGGGCACAACTAAGAGCAACAGCAACAGCTTATAATGTTTGGGGAGTCTCTTGGACATCCCTGACCAACCTACTGTTTTATCACTTAAATAAAACGTCTTTTTATGTCTTTTTAAAATGTTTCTCTTTGGATAAAACTGTTAGTATTTCCCCTCAAAAGTAGGAGAGTTTGGGTTGCAGATAGTGAGGTTTTTTGAGGTGTTTGCATATATGTGAATACTCTGCCCATTAAAGTATTTTTGTTTCAACCTTTAAAAAAACCACCGGAAGGGGTAGGGGAGGACGGGTGGGAGAAGGGAACTGGGATTGTCATGTAAAACAATCCTATTTCTAATTCAAATAAAAAAGTTGGAAAAAAATCACAGGGAATATTAATGATTAAAGAATGTGCCAACACTCACATGCTTGTGTCAGTAGCTGTTTTTCTTTTCTGGCTTATGAGTGGGCAGGACCTGCCTCAGCACCTTGGCCAGGAGAGCCCAGGTCTCGACCAGTGTGCTGTCTTTATTACACTTACAGATTCATGACTTGGGGCAGATAGCAGACTCAATCACCTGTGAATGACTGTTCCAAAAGCCATTCTGCAGCCCACCTGCTTGAGACTGGTTTAGTGGTTATGAGCTAAGGCTCTAGTACTGGTAGCTTTAAATGACTGAGCTCACCCATAAGGCTTCTTTTATGTGGCCATCAAAGTGCAAAGGTAATAAAGTGCCTATGTCCACAGACACTGTCTCTGCTGAAAGACCTGCGGCCTCCTGAGTTGAACTTCCATGGTAGTCTCACTGCCTACACTATTTTGACCCCGGGTAGCTACAGGATTATGCCTGCTGTTTATTGTCTGTCTTTAACAGGTGTAAGTGTCACACCTTGTGGGCCTAATTTATTCATTGATTTGTTTGCCACAAGCTCCCAAAACAGTTCCTGGCGTGTTATAAATAGTATTTGTTGAATGGCTGCTACTACTGAGGTTATTCAGGTATTATTGGTTGGGAAGTTTTCCCATACTACCCTAAAAACCTAATGCCTCCATCTTTAGCATTTTCTGTAAGAAAATATATGCACTAGAAACAGATGTTTTTAGGGTCTGGAGAGATGGCTCAGCCATTAAGAGAACAGGTGCCCTCTTCTGGTGTGCAGGCAAATATGCAGACAAAACATATGTAATAAAAATAAGTAAGTACATTTTTAAAACATATTTTAAAAAGAAAGAAAGAAACAGGGGCCTGGAGAGAAGGCTCAGAGGTTAAGAGCACCGACTGCTCTTCCAGAGGTCCTGAGTTCAATTCCCAGCTACTACTTGGTGGCTTACAACCATCCGTTGTGAGCACCGGTGCCCTCTTCTGGTGTGCAGATATACATGGAAGCAGAATGTTGTATACATAATAAATAAATAAAATCTTTTTTAAAAAAAGAAAGGAAAGAAAGAAAGAGTTGTTTTTTAAAAAGGTAAACCTGTCTTCTGGCATTGGAGGCACATGCCTTTAATCCCAGCACTCAGGAGGCAGAGGCAGGCAGATCTCTGTAAGAGGCTAAAAAAAGGCGGGGGGTGAGGGTGCTGGAGAGATGGCTCAGCTGTGGCGCTGGCTGCTCTTAACGGGGGTCCTGAGTTCAATTCCCAGAAACCATATGGTGGCTCACAACCATCTGTAATGAGATCTGGTGCCCTCTGCTGGCATGCAGGCAGACATACAGCAGAATACTGTATACATAATAATAAATAAAAATCTTTAAAAATAAGCAAATAAAAGGTAAACATGTGCACCACTGTGGATGAAGATCAATTCCTGATGGACTGTACTTTTTTTTTCAAACAGGAGGTGATGTGGTCTGACTTTGGGTTTCCTGGAAGAAATGGACAGGAAAGTACACTGTGGATCGGCTCTCTGGGAGCCCATACTCCCTGTCATCTGGACTCCTATGGCTGCAACTTAGTATTCCAGGTACAAGGAAGGTAATGTGTGTGGGGGGGGGGGGGGGCACATCTGTGCATCTACACACAAATTGGAACAAAAGGAAAAAGAAGGTGGGGTCAGATAGTAGCCCCACCCCATCCTGTCAGCCAGTTTTGTGACCAAGACGTTCGTCTCTTTCCCACTGTTGTGTTTCCTTCTGTGTGCAGTGAGGGGGTGTGAAGTGACTTCCGTGTGTCTCAGCCGTGATCAGGAGTCTCTCAGAGGTCCCCATCCTGCTGGGCATCTCTCTGCTTAACTATTTTACCTGGCAGGTTCACACTTCACTCCCTTCCTCCACCTCTCAAGTAAGAACAGGGAAGTTTATTGAAAGAAAGAGGCTTCAAAGTAGCCTCTTAGATGCTGACAGCAGCCAGAAAGGCTGAGTCACAAGGTTTTTGTTTGTTTTGTTTTTCTTTTTTTGATCTTGTGAAGATGGGGTTTCTCTATAGCTTTGAAGCCTGTCCTGGTACTGACTCTGGAGACCAGGCTGGCCTCGAAATCATGGAGATCCACCTGCCTCTGCCTCCCGTGTGCTGGGATTAAAGTCATGCACCACTACCGCCCAGCTTGTGTCGCTCAGGCTGGCTTTGAACTCGTGATCCTTCTGCCTCTGCCTCCTTCAACAAATCCTACCAGTGTGCACCACTACAGCAGGCGGGTCGCATGGTTTTTATGGTCCGCTTTGACTAACTTTTGGTTTGTGAGTACAGTGTATTATGTAGATGAGCGTTTGTCTCCGCCTGACTAAGTGGCAGAACCAAGTGGCCAGCACCTGTTAGCCTAGAGTTTGGCAACCTGGAGGATGTACCCAGTTGTCCTATGGAGGGTTACACTTGGGTGTCCTATGGAGGGTTATACTTGGGTGTCATATGGAGGGTTACACTTGGGTGTCCTATGGAGGGTTACACTTGGGTGTCCTATGGAGGGTTATACTTGGGTGTCCTATGGAGGGTTATACTTGGGTGTCATATGGAGGGTTACACTTGGGTGTCCTATGGAGGGTTACACTTGGGTGTCCTATGGAGGGTTATACTTGGGTGTCCTATGGAGGGTTATACTTGGGTGTCCTATGGAGGGTTATACTTGGGTGTCCTATGGAGGGTTATACTTGGGTGTCCTATGGAGGGTTATACTTGGGTGTCCTATGGAGGGTTATACTTGGGTGTCCTATGGAGGGTTATACTTGGGTGTCCTATGGAGGGTTATACTTGGGTGTCCTATGGAGGGTTATACTTGGGTATATATGGAGGGTGTACCCAGTCATACATGCAGCCTCATATCCCCTAATATTTAGTGCCTCAGACTTCCTATTCACATGCCTGCCCTCTGCCTCATCACTCTTCCTTCTATTACTATATGGATCTTATAGAGTTTTGAGAAATTAGATTTTTTTGCCTCCATTCCTTAAAAAAAAATCCAATGTATAAAAGTTTTCTCTTGCCGGGCATTGGTGGCACACACCTTTAATCCCAGCACTCAGGAGGCAGAGGCAGGCAGATCTCTGTGAGGCCACCCTGGTCTACAGAGTGAGTTCCAGGACAACCTCCAAAGCTACACAGAAAAACCCTGTCTCAAAAAACCAAAAACAAAAAGTTTTCTCTTTTGAAAAGATCCTCAGTTACACTACTTTTGGGTTATGTGGCATTAGTTACAAGTTTCTCATCCTTAGTAGATCAACTTAACATGTCTAACTTCCAGACAGGAGACGTCTGGAAGCTGTTTGCTGGGGAGAGCTTTCAGGGTTTAATCAGAATAACAGTAGAGTACAGACATTTGCAGGGCCAGGGAGATGTCTCAGTTGATAAAATGTCATTGCACAAACATGATGGTGTAAGTTCAGTACCCAGCACTATGTCAGTAAGTAAAGTAAGGTAGCACAGGCTGTTAATCTCAGCACTTGGAAGCAGAGGCAGGAGGATCTTTATGAGTTTGAGGCCAGCATGGTCTCCATAGCATGTTCCAAGACAGCCAATGAGGTTACATAATGAGACCATGTCTCAAAAGACCAGGGAAAAGAGTTAAGCAATGCGTGATGAGGAGGACACCATCGTCAGCTCTTGCCTCCACACACATGCACATGCATTTGTATGACATATATAAACACATAGCACACATATGTACACAAAAAATAAAGTCTAATGGAAAGATAAAGATTATTCTAGTTAGCTTCAGGGTTAGGTGTGAAAGCAGTGATAAGGAAGTAAGCTGTGATATAAGATGCAAAAAAGAAAAAAAAAAGGCATCTTACAAAGGAGATCCTATCCCTGCAGTGAGAGGGGCTGCCTCTGGAGGGTGTCAGAGAGCTGCCTTCCACCAGACATCTGCAGCTGTGCGTGAGAGGCCAGGGGACCACTGTGATGGCGCCTGTGTTCCCGTATGAACTGAATTTAAATTAGTGAGACCAAGCATTGGGCTGCTGCCTTCGTACATGTTTTATTTCAAGTGGAGAGCTCTAACTTGTGTCTTATTTTCTCATTAGGAAAAGATGGCATCTTTTTCCTCCTGAAGATATGCCTTTCCTTTATCCAACCAGAATCCCTTACGAAGAGTCGAGTGTGTTCAGTAAAATCAATGTTGTCAACCCTGATTTAGAGCGTTTCCCTCAGTTCCAGAAAGCTCGAAGACATACGGTCACACTGAGCCCAGGACAGGTAATGAGCTTTAAACATCGATGACCTGTCAGTGGTCACCACAGCCTAGTGCCTGTGCTACCCTCAGTACAGATGACATGGTTCCCTCCCTGCAGCCCTGCTGCTGGAGGTCCCTTTCCCCACCTGTGGGCTTGAGACCCACAGCTCTGCCCAGGAGAGATGGGAAGAGGGAGCACAGCTCCTCCTGCTGGTGAAGAGGAGAATAGGCATTGAGGAAGACAGCTGGTGAAGCCATTACTATTCCTCAGGTTAAGAGATCATGTGAGGGTGTGGGTCCTGGGCCATTTATTCACCAGACGGCTAGCACAGGCTGCAGTGCACCCAGGCCCTCGGAGGTGGACTGAGAATGGTCTTTGCTTTTCAGCAAGAATGGCTGACGACATCTGAATCACTTCTAAAGAGACTGTTATTTCCCGTTACCACCCAGTGAGGAAAATTTCCTTTACAACATTGGCACTTGCTGTCCCAGTTTCTTAGTATTTGAAAGGTTTTCTTGGTCTCACAGAGAATTCATTCCCTCCATTGTCACACAGATGGACCTGGTCCAGTTGCTTCCATCTCTGGACAGAGCACTGCCTTCATGCCTCCTCCTCCAGCCCCAACAACCACTACTCTATTTTGTATCTCCATGGATTTTCCTATTCTGGGCATTACACATGCATCCATACACTAGATGGCCTTTTTTCTGACTTCTGATGCAGACTGTGTTTTCAAGGCTGAGCAGTTTCTGATTATGTAGGTGTGCCGTGATGACCTATTCCACGGTTGGTTTCATGGCTGTTATGAATGGATGTTGCTGCCGTAAACATCTGTTTATAAGATTTGTGGGTGTTTAGAGTAGGCTAGGTGGCTCAGGTGATTGTGATTAACCCTTTGAGAGGTCCCTAGTGTTCTCCACAGTGGCCATTTACATCCCCACCAGTGACGTCTGAGGGTTCTGCTTGCTGCACTTTTCCCCAGCGCTCCCCATCTTTGTTGTAACTCTAGGAACTTTCCCAGTAGGTAAAGGAGCCACAGTGCATGTTTCCTTTCTTCTGCCATAATGTGCACAGCTGCTTTGCAGCGGGAAAGAGGAAAAGCTGGAATTTCAAAGCCTTTACTAGAATTCAGAAATCCCAGGATTAAGAAGAGCAGAAAGCCCTATCTATAAGCCTTTGAGTTCACCATTTAGAGGAGGAAAACAAGGAGAGAGCTGGTGAGGTTTCTTCCCCACCCCCCCTTTACTCTATTCCCTTGAATTTATTTGTGTCTTTTTTCCTTTTAGCAGTCTCAATTAGAGTGAGAAATGCCCTGTTCTCATGCTAACTATTTTTTGTTTGGTTTTCAGGTTCTGTTTGTCCCCAGACACTGGTGGCATTATGTGGAATCCATTGATCCTGTCACCGTCAGTATAAACTCCTGGATTGAGCTGGTACATTTTGTTGTTTCCTTTAAAAAAAAAAATCCCTAAGATAAGCAAAGCCTGTGTACAAAATTCAGTCACTAATTCTGTGACCAGTGTTCCAGGATGACTTTTGTTTCTGTGTTCTGTGATTCTATCCTCTCTTGATAAGTGTTGACGATGGAAATAGGAATTTTGGAGATGTGCCATTCTCTTGTTTTGCTTGAGTTGATTGTGTTGTGTTTTCTTTGAGACAGGGTATCTCTATGTTTTTGTGCCCAAATTCTGAACCCCCAAGTCACCAAGAGACCCATTCCCATGCAAAAGCAAAGAGTCTTTTATTGTTTAACCAGTTAACTGTCTTAACTCAGGCCATTTGTCTGTTTACCACGGTAGGTAGACCCAAAGGGGCTGCGAGGAGGAGCAAGGGAAGTGTATAGGGGTATGCAATAGTCGAAATAGTCTCAGGATTGGTGCGCTTCCAGGCTTGGGTAGCCTCTTCTGTGTTGATTGGTCAACTGGTTGTTATGGCTGATAAGCCCTCCCAGAGCAGTTGTGCTCTGCATGTCACTGTCATCCCACTTTTACCATAAAGCACGTCCAGAGCCTGCCAGCTAACTTCTGATTGGTTTCTTGCCATGTGGAGGGTATCTGACCTCCTAGTGACTGGGAGGACAGGCAAGGTCAGGAAGCTCAGCACATTTTCCTGAGTCAGAAGCCTGCATCTTGCTGGATCTTTTCTGCAATCTGTCATGGCTGCCAAAGCAGGGGGCTGGGTGAGGGTCTGGTCCTTTCACACATATGCCTCAAACTCCAGTCCTCCTGCCTCTGACTCCCAAATGCTGGGATGACACAGGTGCTACTGTGTCTAGCTACTCCCTGAGATGACACACAGTGTGAACGGTTGAGGCTTTAATGCTGATCGGCAATATTTCTTTAAGAGACAGACCCACCCCCTGACAACAGTGAGGGCACTCACAGGAAAACGTGCTACGTCATCACACGTCACCCGCCACCCATTACGGCCTGCGTGAGGACTCTGGGCATGAGTGGAACCTCAGTGCACATGCGCAGTCTTCCCTTTAAAAGTTCCAACTTTCCTGCTGCTCACTCACTACTCTCTCTCTTCTTCGCTCTCTCTCACTTATTCACTTTCTCAGCCTCTTTATGCCAACTGGCCATGGTGGTCAGCCATTTACCCTGTTCCTCTTCTTTCTTAGTCTCTCTACTCTGCCGGGCCTTATAATAAACTAGTCAATATGTCTCATCTCTCTTTTTCCTCTTTTTCTTCAAAAACATAACCCAGTGGCCTTGACATTGATGGCTCCCTCTGGTGGTGTCAGGACCTGGTGAGGTCTGCAGCATGTGCCTAACTTTGCTGGTTCCATCCCACACCATCACAGAGGGAAATATGTTTCCTGGTTCGGGGCCCTCATTTCTTGCTATAGCCCATCTTTGTGGGGCTTCAGTCAGATCCAGCCAACTTTCCCAGTTCGTATCTGAGAGGGGAAATGTGGATTGAGAAATGGCAGGTAAAGATGCTAAGAAAAAGACAGACACACAAGCGGGCAACCCAGTGAATAGTGAATGCCCGAAGTTTATTCTTAGACTCAGTTTCCTGTTATCCAGCCGTGAGGGTCAAGAGTAACCACATCTCAAACCAAGTCTGTTGTTACTTAGATAAGACATCCACTACCAAGATCAAACATCCTACAGTAGCCACGCCTTAGACCTTTAGGTCTCATGACTTTAACCTTGGAAGACTAAGGACAGTTTTAAACTCTCTGACCTTGAGTCAAGATGAAGCGGAGCCATCTTTATGGGCCCTGACAATTTCTAGCCTTGACATAAGCATTGTCTCAAAGTAGAATGGCGCAGCACTATATTCTTATTGTTCACTCTGTCTTTTCCCAGGGACAGCTTCAGCCTGGTTCCCTGTTCTGTTTGACAGTACAATAGCTATTGCAGCTGAGTTGAATCTGCCAGTCTTTAACTGCAGCCTTTGATTGCATCTTTAGGGCTCTGGTTACATATCTGCCCTCCTTAACTGGAAGCCTGACATTTCTCTGCTCTTTTGGCATCTGCATCCTCCCTCCTCTTTGTGAGGTGTTTCCTTTGGTATGGGAGGGGCTTTGGAGTAGGCAGATCCTGAGAATCACTGTAACAGGAAGCAAGCTGTACTTAAGGGCTTAGGGAAGACAGGACACATGCTCCTGGAGCTTAGGTAACAGTATGCTGGGAGATAGCAGCCTCAGTTAGAAAGCCTACTTGGAGCTGCAGCTGGAGCAAATTGTAAGATGGAGTCCACTGCAGGACTCACACCTGCCACACCCTATGTCCCCAGCAGATGGGTCACTTCAGGCCTGTTCAGGTTCCTCAGTTACAGAACAGTGATTGTAACTGAGTCCAGCTCAGGAGCATGGTTGTGAAACATAAATTAATTAGCATTCCTAACTCCTTCTGATGTTCCTGTTCTGAGGCTTGTAGATGGTAACTAATAGGCTCTAGTTGGGTGCAGGTGGTCCAGTATTTAGTCCTTCTCGGTTTCACTGGTGAAATGCAGATTCTGCCCTTTCAGGCTCTGGGGTAAGTGCGTTCTCAGATATTCTGAGTAGCACCTTTTTTGCCTTTTTGCATCATTATTTTTGAATATCAAACTATTAACTATAGTTAATATAGTTAGAATATAGTTAATATAGTTAGAAAACTATAGTTAAAACTATTAACTATTTATATCCTAAATAGTTAATAGAATCTCCTTTTTGTATCTTTTCCAGGGCTATTTGTAACCCCCATCTAGGCAGAACTTCCTTCACCATGTCAAACATAGGTTCCAAAGTTTTCTTATTAGAATCTGATAAAAGAATATCATCCATATAATGATAAACAAGAGATTGTGAAAATTTTTTACGAATTATTTCCAAAGGTTGTTGTACAAAGTGTCGACACAAAGTAGGACTATTTAGCATCCCCTGAGGCAAAACTTTCCACTGATATCTCCGAACTGGTTGTGAGTTATTGACAGTTGGTACAGTAAATACAAATTTCTCTCTATCACTTTCTTGTAATGGTATAGTGAAAAAGCAGTCTTTCAGGTCAATTACTATGATTGGCCATCCGTTAGGTATTAAGGAAGGCGGTGGCATTCCAGGCTGTAGAGAGCCCATAGGTTGAATTACCTTATTTATGGCTCTCAGGTCTGTCAGCATTCTCCAGTTACCTGACTTCTTCTTGATAACAAATACAGGAGAATTCCAAGGGCTGGTAGATTCCTCTATGTGATCAGCCTCCAGCTGTTCCTGTACTAACTTTTCTAGAGCCTCTAGCTTCTCAGAGGTCAAAGGCCATTGCCCTATCCAGACAGGTTCATCTGTAAGCCATTTTAATGGCAGGGCCTTTGGTTCCTCTGAAGGTCTATCATTTGTATTTAGTTTCTGTACGGCCTGGATAGTTGGTAACCATTTTGCATAGCGTCTTATCCTATCCTTCCTACTATCCAGTGATTTTCTATAGTTCGAATGTGACATTGGAGGGATGTTAATTTGAGTGTTCCATTGCTGTAAGAGATCACGACCCCAGAGGTTAATAGCTATATTTGCTACATAAGGTTTCTGTCCTTCTGGCCCAATACAGACCACCGAGCAAACACTGTTGAACCCTAGATAGTGTCCCAATACCCAAAAATTGTACATTCGCTTCCCTTTGGCCAGGACTTGTGGGTAATGATAGTAACATCAGCGCCTGTGTCCAGTATCCCGTTAATAATTTTATCATTAATTTTTACCTGTAAGTGAGGTCACCTGTCCTTGATTGAGGTCTGCCAAAATATGTGCTTTTCATCTTGTCCAGTCTTACCTGATTCTTTATCACCAGCCAAACTACCATCTATGGCATTGTCATCTTTGACAATTGATGAGGAACTATCTATTCGTTCTGACACAGATTGTCTCCTACAGTTACTGGATATGACTGAACCTTCTTCGATGTGGGGACCTCCTAGAGTCCCCCTCAGAGTTTCCCGACCTTAACAGGTTCCCTTGCATATCCCTGGTCGATCTACACTCATTAGTCCAGTGTCCGCCCTTACCACATCTCCTACATAACCCAGAGGGCAATGACCTTTTGCTTGAGGCATCGTTAGAATTTCTTTGCCTACAATTTCTCCTTATATGTCCCATTCTACCACAGCTGAAACATCTATTCTCCTGATGCTTCCATGGACTCCTGGAGCGTGCTCTTCCTATTCGAGGCTCTGGTTCATGGTAGCGATGAATGCTGGCCTCTTGATACCTGTATGGGTCCCTGTAAGATGTTTCTCCTTCCCAAGTCCTTCTGTCATTATCTCTCCTAATCTCCTGCTGCCTTTTGAAACCTCTTGGGACAGCTTCTCCTGCCCAGATTCCAGCATCTTGCATGTTATAGTCAATGTGGGCAGTATGCAGAACCCATTCTTCTAGTGGAGCTGATCTGATCGTTAAAGGCAAAATATTCTTTTGCATTTTGGGTTTGCTTTGTCATAAGCTAAGGTATACACAATCGAATGTCATATTGCTTAATCTGTTACTTGTAAGTCTACTGCTCTGGTCATCTGGTCTAAGAAGTCTTTAAATGGTTCTGTTTGTCCCTGTTCTATTCTGGTATAAGCTTCTAGTCATTCTCCCAGCTCACAAACCCTTATCACATGCATTTAGTGCTGCTTTCCTGCATAGGGACAGCATATGGTCGTCATATTCAGCCTGAACCTGTGAGTCAGCATAAATACCTTTCCTAGGATTTTTTGAAGGAGCGCATCAACACCGTCTCTAATGGCCTGCCACTCTAGGAGCTTCCCTTCCTCCCTGAGCAATGCCTTCCTTTCGATTTGGCAAGAATTCTCAAGAACAGCTGACACCAGTCCTACCCAATCTGTGGGTGTCACTCTGTTAAAGGTGGCCCATGAATGTAATAGCTGTTTTACGTATGGGCTATGAAGACCATACAGACAACTGATTCTTTAATATGCTTAAGATCTTTGAACTGAATTGGTTGCCATACATATGCTGTCTGCCCTTGAGAGTGTCTTTTAGTTGGTGGCTTTTCCACCACCGTTGCCCGGTAGACTAACGGTGTGTTCGTAATGACTTTAGAATGATTGAAGTACCTTTTTGGAGTAGGTACCTCAGAGTGTAGCGATTCTGTCTCCTCTTCGTCAAATTGGTCCTTCAGCCTAGCCAAGATATCCTCATGGGAGGTTTTAATTTCATTCATCATGAAAGATTCAAGGCATGATATAGAATCCACGATTTGCTGCAACTGTTGTTCTACAAGATTTTCTAGACGTGTAATACGTTCGTCCCTAGCTAGCATCTGGGTGGCATGGAGATTGCCATCCAGGAATTGAAATTTAGAATCAAGGTTGTGATGTGCCTCAGCAATCGACTTGATAGACGATTCTAGTTTGTTATCTCTGTTCTGTAATTCATCTTGCAAGCCTTGAAACTCAGCTCTAATTCTACCATAGTCTCTCTCACATTTTCCAGCCATTGATTTAATGGCATTATCCAATTGTTGAAGCCTATTTTGGGTGTCCTATACCATAGTAACAAAGGAATAGGAGAGAGAGACTAGTTGAGTTTCTGATTGGTTACATATATCCTTTAATTCATCATGGCCCGCTGCCTGCTTAACCCGTAATGCCTCCAAAATATCCTTCAATTCAGCAAGGTCTGCCGCCCGCTTAGACTCAAGTGCCTCTGAAATGGAGTGCCTCTCTGTGTTTATGTTATTATTATAAATGTGCTGCATTTCTGCTTGAGTAGTAGACAGATCTGACCATATCGGTTTTTCCACCAGCAGCTAGGCAGACACCAGCTAGCTGTGAATGATCCGCGCCGCCGCAGCGCAAATTGCAAAGTGCTGCCGGGAGTAGCAAAACCCGCAGAGAGGCCTGCAGAAGATTTAAACACTCCAGGGCCTGGCGGGAGGGCGCGGGAAGGTGGGCAGGTAGGTCGGTGGGCTGGGATACGGGCCTGGGGCGTGGAAGCGGCGGCGCACCGTTCAGGAAGGGACCAGGCGGCTGGGCAGGCGGGAGGCGGGTGGGGTAACTCACTGTTTAGCAGCCGTCCGTTTTCCCGCAGTGGATAGCGATACCGTGGCGGGGCGCTCCACTGGAAAGCAGAGGCCCAAGTGGGCCAGCCAAGAGGCAGAATGGGTCGTGGGTTTCAGGGCGCCAGGGATAACATGAAGTTACAAGTTAAGATATCTTTATTCAAGTAATACCAGCCAAGCACAAGCCAGAGTGTGCCCAGAGGCAGCAAGCTAGGGAGGCCAGAGATAAGGGGCTCCCCACCTGTCTGCCGCCTCTTAAGAATTCCCCCGGGTCATCGGGTCATCCTGAACCTCCCCTGACCATGCCCTCACGGGCGTGGCCAGGCACACCTGTAGTGGCTCCTAGGAGGCGGAGCTACAGTGTCTCCCTACAAGTAACGCTGTGCTTAGATGTTTAACCACTTTTTGTTTTATTTTCTGAAACACAGTTTCCCTGTAATCCAGACTGGCCTCAGATGGGCCTCCAGCCCATCAGCATGTCCAAGAGATTTCAGATTCCAGACTCCAAGAGGTCTCCCATCTCAGCCTATAGACCTGAGTCACCATGCCCAGCCTCTGCCCTGCCCCACCAGAATGTTGGGGAATCTAGTCCAGGCCCCTGTGTGGACAGGAATGTGTTCTACCAGAGTGACAACCTCCCCCACAGCCTAGCCGCCTGGGTCTCCTATTTTTCACACGGCTTGCTTTCCAACTCCATAAAAGTCATTATTCCATGTGTTTAATACTTAAAAACATTGGACATACCAAGGAGTGGAAACGATTAGAAAAAAAAATTATCTAAGGTCATTTGTACATTAGGCCTGTGTCTTTTAAAAATACACATTCTTAATTTTGGTGCACTGTCTTCCTATACTGTCATAGATGATGATAATGAACACACAAGAGTTCCATTGCTCCCAGCAGCACACTGGTTCCTTGTGTGACAAAGTTGGCATCACTGAGGGAACAGAGTATACAGCTAAAAAGACTCTTAAATCAGAGGGCACAGAGACAAATAACAAAATGATGGCTTGTCTTTTTCATTTTTATCTCATCTTAGGAAGAGGACCACCTAGCCCGGGTGGAAGAGGCAATCACCCGCATGCTCGTATGTGCCCTGAAGACTGCAGAAGATCCACACCATCCCAGAGCCTGGCTGAACCCCACTGAGGTAGGATGGCCAGGCTTTCATCCTGGCTCTTGGATATTGATAGTGTATCTGTTGGTCCAGGATAGAGTATTGGTTCACACTTTAGCTCAGTGCATTCTGAAGGGTCATTCTTCTTCTTCTTAGGTTGAAGAAACATCTCATGAAGTCAATTGCTGCTACTTAAATGATGCTGTTTGTGCTTTTTTTGACCATTGTGGAAAAGCTAAAGAAGTAGAGACGCAGGCACTGAGAGCAAACGGGGAGAAGTGGCGAAAGGAAGAGCCAAGTGTGCAGGAGCACATGGAAGTGGAACAAGCACACAGTCAGAGCTTTACTGTGAGGACTGGGAAACAGGAGGTCGCAAGTCAGTTTGGCCCAGATCTGGTCCCTGTGACACCAGCGTCAGAAGATCGGCCTTCGGAAAAAGGAGGCATATTGGGAAGTGACAGCAAAGGATGTATCGACAGAGACAAAGAACACTCTGCAGAACTGTCCTATGCCAGGAGGCAACAAGCTAGTATAGGGGCAAGTGCAGCGTCAGAACAGGTCACCTCAAGGTGTCCTGTGGCACCTTCTCCAACATTCGTGTCCACAGATGACTTGCTGGACTGCTTGGTGAATCCACAAGTAACCAGGATGGTGGCCCAGCTTTTGATACAAGGAAAAAGCTTGCGATTCTAATAGATTGTTTTTAATAAAATTTTAAAATATAATTTTAGAACTAGTATGCTACACGTATTTGCTTTTGTGTAGTATTTTTTTTTACTTACTCTTTGAGGCTGTCATATGTGTGTAAAGTATATTTTGATCATATTCACTCCCCATTGCTTACCTACAGATTCTCCCAAGTCCCCTTCCTCCCCTCCAAACTTTATTTTCTTTTCTTGTTTTTCAACCCTTTGAGTTTAGTTACTGCCACCCATATGCATATGGTGTAGGGCCATCCACTGGGCCTTGGGTAGCCTTCCAGGGGCTACACACCCAAAGCAAATTGACTTTCCTTCCCGAAGCAGCCATCAACTATCAATAACCCCTTGGCTAGGGGCTTATGTGCCTGTGTTAGAATAATGACAGGCAGGGCTGGAGAGTTGGCACTTCCAGAGGACTCATCTGACACCCCACATAGACATATACACATAAAACAGCAATACACATGAAATAAATAAATCTAAAATAAAATTAGTGACTGGCTTGTCCTTGTACAGGCAGCCACACCACAGCTGCCAAGTCCATAGGTGCAAAGGTTCTCTCCTGTCCAGTCCAAAAGACATTGTTTGCCTCATTCCTCCCTGACCCCTGTCTTGTAGAAATTTTTCTGACCCCTCTCCTTCCCTGTTTCTTTCCCTTTTGGGGGGGTGGGTGGGGGAGGGAGTTGTTTTGAGATAGGGTTCCACTGTGTAGCTCTAGCTCTACTCTATGTAGATCAGGCTGGCCTTGAACTCACAGAAATCTCCCTGTCTCTGGCTTCTTCCCCATTTCTCTAGGCTGTGTGTTAATACCATTCACTGCACAGAGAAACCTCTCTGATGAGGACTCAGGGCTGGTACAGATAGGACTTGGGAGGCAATTTGATACTCTGTTGGTTTAGCAAAACAGTAGTAGTGGGTTCATCCCCAGGGCCTCTGAGCTCTGAGATCTGCAGCCACACTTCCTGGCCAAGTTGAGAGTTTGTTTTTCAAACAGTTCTGCTTTATACCTCAGGCTGGCCTTGAATTCAAGATCTCTGGCCCTGTCTCCCACCCACCCCCACCCCCCCAAGTGCTAAGAAGATTGGTTCTAAACAGTTTGATTTTAAAATGAAAGATGGAACAGCAGATGGTGAGGTTGTGCGTGTTTGGAAATGGGCTGTGGTCTGTGGTCACCTTCACATCATGTTGCTCTGTAGCCACAGTGGCTCACATGTGTAGGCCTCCTCAGCCCCTTGGCTTTTCTTACTCTATCTGGTCTTTTCAGCCTCTTAGTGTGAGCTCCACCTGTTTCCAGCAAGAATCAGTTCCTTCTTCAGCTTCAATCAGCCGTGAGCAGTCTGCTGCTTGTTCATATAATTTTATTTTTTATTTATTTTTGGGTTTGTTTGTTTGTTTGTTTGTTTGAAACAGGAGCTCACTGTGGGACTGGCTGACTTGGAACTCGTTATGTAAGTCTCAAACTTCAAGTCCACCTGCCTCTGCCTCCTGAGTGCCTGGATTAAAGGCATATGCCACGATGCTGGCTTGTTCTTATACATTTTTATTGAACCTTCCCCAAGCCTTTTGTTTCCCGTTGTCTGTGGCTTCCTTAAGATTGCCATGGCTGGCCAGGCTTTGGTGGCACACGCCTTTAATCCCAGCACTCGGGAGGCAAAGGCAGGCGGATCTCTGAGTTTGAGGCCAGCCTGGTCCACAGAATGAGTTCCAAGACAACCTCCAGAGCTTGCCATGGCAGAATATGTGTGGAGAGTGTATGGTTTACAGCACTAAAGGGCATCCAGTAGAGGCCTTGAGCAGGGCCTCTCTGTTCCGCTCTCCAGTCTCAGCACTGCTTGTCCAGCACTGATAACAGTTATTCCTAAGAGTGGGTTGGTCCCCAGCCTGCAGAACTGCCCTACCCGGCCCCATGTATATTTGCCTGTCTAGTTAATGTTTATCTTGCCCAATCAGCATGTTGCTGCAAGCTTTAGAGGCCCTGAGGCTTCTTTTAACAGGTTTATTGGACCAGCCAGTCCAAAAAGCAATAAACAATAAATTCTCACAGACTTATCCAAAAGCTAGAGTTACCGCTTTAGAGCCCCTGAGGCTTCTTTTAACAGGTTTATTGGACCAGCCAGCAGGCTTCTCACAGACTTATCCAAAAGCTAGAGTTACCCCAGATGCTACAGGGTTGAGACTTTTTTTATATGTGTTTGGCTTTTTTGTCTCCTATGTACTGCTACATACATTCTGATGGGAGGTTTTAACTACTAGACAGTAATGGCTAAAAAAAAAAGGGGGGATAGAAAAGGAGGAGGCTCCTTTCTTGGAGGGGAGCAGAACAGTTAACCCGCAGGGAGCCCATCACTCCCTCACAACTGTGAGCAATTCAGTGCTGTGGCTGATTTTATGTGTTGACCTTCATGGCGGGGGGGGGGGTGGGGGGGGGGGTGTAAGGAACACAGAAGTTAACTCTGACTAGGCAGACAAGAGAGGGCGGTATAAGCAATGCTCCACTAGTGACACTGGCATGGAGCATGCTGGGGTCAGCGCTCAGTTTTCTGTTCTTAGATTTATCTCTATCCAGGAAACACCTCTTTCTCTTCAGGTGCTTTTTGTTTTTTTTTCCGCATGACTCAGCTGTGAGTCACAGAAGCAGGCTGAAGGGCTCAGGTCTGTATGGAACAGGGTAGAAAAGAAGAGATAACTCGAGAATCATTCCTGTTATGATAATTCGAGTGGGAACCTTGGCAGATTCCATGGCAGGCGAGGTTGACCGAAGCAGGGGACAAGAGAAAAAC